GGGTCACTTATGTATACTATCATATATCATCTGCAAATAGTGAAAGTTTGACTTCTTCCTTTCCAATTTATATCCCTTTGATCTCCTTTTGTTGTCTTATTGCTCTAGCTAGAACTTCTAGTACTATATTGAATAAATATGGGGAGAGTGGATAGCCTCGTCTTGTTCCTGATTTTTAGTGGTATCGCTTTGAGTTTCTCTCTGTTTAATTTGATGTTGGCTTGCTGTAAATTGCCTATATTATGTTTAGGAATGTTCCTTGCATTCCTGATCTCTCTAAGACCTTTAGTTTTTATTCTTATTACTCTAAGTGTATGCTTTAAGTATGTGCAGTGACAGTCAGAGTTATTTACTAAGTGGTGAAATGTTATTCTTCTTCCACATTTACATGGGTTCTGGGTGATTGAACTCAGGTCCTCAGGCTTGTGTGGCAGGTGCTGCTTTCCCTAGAATGCAGTCTTTTCCAGACAAGAAATCTCACTATGCAGATGAGGCTGGTCTGGAACTCACCGAGTATCTCCACCTCCCAAGCATTGGGATCAAAGGCTCGGCTCACCATGCCCAGCTAGAATGCATCTTGATTTCTACTTTACTGACAAATGACAAGTCCCAGAACCTGGACTCTAGTCGCCTGGAGGACTCACTGGACAAATGTGACAGACATCCTAGGACTACCACAGCTGAGCTGTTTATTACCACTGACAGGGATAGGTTGAGCATGATGGGAAAGATGAAGCCTTCATCCCCATGGTTCTTCCAGTCAAGCAAAACAAACAGCCCCTGGCAGAGAAAGCAAATGGGAGGAACTGATGCATGATTAAATCCTATCTGATGAAGACTGAGACAGACCCCACCACTATGGGGACTGTCTTCCCAGGGGTCATGAGACTGAAGTGCTGGCACCACACCAGTCACAGCACTGAGGGCACCAAGCTTAAAAGCAGGTGAGTGGAGCCGGTGGCAGGAGGGTTTGGAGCTCAGTGGCCACCCTGAGAGGGAAACCCTTACTGGACCAAGGGGAAAGCAGCAAAGTACGTTGGCACATGGCCAAGGTAGGAGGAGTTCAAGTTCAGGATGCATAGGGAGACTATTTTGATTACCACCCTGCAAATGATAGGAAAGGAGAAAACTGAAGCATATATCAGCAAAGAACCACAAAAGATGTTATTCGGAAGGGGCTGGAGATGGCTCTGTCAGCAAAGGAAGGGCTTGTTTGCCACAGAAGTGTGAGGATTCAAGATCCATATAAAAAACTAAACCAAACCCTAGGCCAGGGGGCAGGCATGTGTAGCCCAGCACTAGCTGGGTGGAAATAGGATTCCTGGGGTCTGCTGGTTAGCCAGCTTAGCTAACTTGGTGAATTCTAGGTTCAGTGAGGTATCGAAAAAATAAGATTTACTTGATGGTATACACCTTTGCTTCCAGTCCTTCGGAGGCAGAGGCTGGCAGATCTCTGAGAGGTCAATCTACATAGTGAGTTCCAAGCCAGTTAGGGCCACATAGTGAAACCATCATTTCATAAAACACAATAAAAGATGGAGAACCTCCATAGGCACACTTGTGTACACACAACCCTGCACCCCTACAGATGCTATATAGGCCAGATGTGGTGTTATATGTCTGTAATCCTAGCACTTGGGGCACTAAGGTAGGGGTATTCTAAGTTTGAGGCCAGTCTGGGCTTTGTAGAGTTCAAGGCTAGCCTGAGCTACAAAGCTCTCTCCCCATGTTTGAGGGTGGTCCTTCTGGGATAGCATGTGACTCATTATGTACAGGGTGTTTACTGAATGTCTAGGTGTAATAGCAACAACACTGGAGTTCTCTGGATTTATTTTTACTAGGGTAATGTTTGAGAAACAAGGTAAATCCAGAAGGAAGTATCAGAGAACAAATCTGTAGGTCATGGTGGCACATGTCTTTATTTCCAGCATGGGAGAGGAAGAGGCAGGCAGATCGATTTGAGGTCAGCTTGGTCTACAGTGTGTTCTGGGCCAGGCAGGTCTACAGAGACCCTATCTTAAAACAACTCCTTTAGTGTACACAGTATCCAGGAAAGCATAAGTAGTGAGGAAGATTCTGGAAAAACTTGTGAAAATGAGGATCTGAAGCCTCAGCAGTGGGTATGAACCTCTAAGTAGGGGCATGGTGGGGTGGTGGGTAAGAGATGCCACTGTCACCAAGAAGGATGGGCAGCTTTTACTAATAGAACCAAGCTGCAGAGTCTCAGCTACCACAAACAATGTGTAACCTATACGGGTGCAGCTCTGGATGTCTGGGGACAACTAATGAAGTCTGTAGGCAATGACTGCTTTGGAACCTGGGGATATGGAGAAATTTTGTTCCTAAGTTGTACTTCAGCAAAATTTTTCTCAGATGTGAAACAAATGGCAGGCAAGGACAGTTTTCCTGGAGTGCTGTCTAGGCCCTCCTCTATTTGCAGGTCCCATTTCCTCTATGCCTAGGTCCTGGCTGAGTGTGGTGAAGGGGTATTTGTGGAGTACAGTAAGCGGTCAGAGTTCCTGTCTACTCAGCCAGCCAGGCCAGGAACTCCCATGCCAGACTCAGTGCTGTTCTGGTCTCTTCAGCTGGATAAGGGTAGCTCAGGATTTGAGGGCTACCCCCCCCCTCCCAATGCCACACTATAGGACTATAAGGTCTCCTGTGCTTTCTTCAAGGGGGTTCTACAACAACTTAGAACACATTCTGTGTCCTGGTTGGGCCTTGGTAGCTAAGACACTGAGTGTCTCCCCTGGCAGGTGAAAGAAGCATTTCTCCCTGCCCTACGCTGCTGCATTAAAAGTTCCATTTTCTTCCCACCCTATGCTGCTGCATTAGGAGTTCCACATTCTTCACTGGGAAATTGAGTATCAGTTGGTCCTGTTTGCACCTAAGCCTCCTGGGAACCTGTGATCTGAGTGGGGACAAATAGAACCAAAAGTAGAGTTCACAAACATTTATTTACATGGAATTCAAGTTACATATGATACAGTCTTTTTACAGTTTAAACAGACTTGGTTTCTCTATTTTTACTACCAAAAGGTAAAGAAAAACATTTAACCATCTACTTCATTTTTTCTTTTCCTTTTATACAAAGTGAGATCATGCATTTTTCTCTTAACTTTGAAATCTTTTGCTAAGTGCAAATACTAGATTCTCTCCAGTTTTAAGGCAAATACACAGGGAGTGGCTAGGCAGTTTCTCAGACCAGGAAGCAGCCTGGGTCCCAGAGATTAAGGTGCCAGCTGCCTGGGGATTCCTGCTGGTCCACCCCTTATCCCTCTGGCCATGCTGGCACATAGGTTCTGGGAGGGCCACTAAGGATGAGATGCCTTGATGGAGACAGGCAGTAGCAGCCATGTGTGGCCAAAGACAGACTGAATTTCAAATGACATGACCCTGGCCTCACCTATCCGAGGGCCAAGGCCTGGGTGGCATCTGTTCTTCCAGCAACCCCAAACTGCCAGGCTTCTCACCTGGCCTCTTGATGGAGTAACATGATGGGGGTACTGGGTAGAACCAGAACTGGGTGCCCAGTCCAGAGGCTCATGTGGCCTGGAGGGGCAGTGCCTGGAGTAACCACCCACCTGTGGGGCCCCTGGAGAAGGACAGGGAACACAAATACACTAGTAGTTAAGGTACTCGGAGGATCCTGTCATGCAGCACGTGGCCCATCTTTCCAAGGCACTGTCATTTAGACTAGTAGCACGTTCAGGTGACCCACAGCAGGGCTCCTCAAAGAGTTTTTCCTCCTTCCCAGAGACATCTTGCCACTTCCAAGTCTGTACACTCTGAATGTGGGGCACCCCACAGCAATGGGAGGACAAGGATAGCCAATACAACTGAGAAAAACATCTTCGGCCAGTCCTGCTCTGTAAACAGGCTGGAGGGATACAAAAACCTGGTCTGGACAGGAGGGGACACAGGCAGTGGGAGCATGGCAGGAGCGTTCTCATCTGACTTTAGGGAAGGCAGCTGTTCTCTCATCTTGGAGCTGGGGTCTCACCCTCTGCCTGCTTCCATTACTAATAAGGGAAACAGGTAGGCAGACAGGAGGGTTGCTGTGACAGTCACAGGCCATCTTCGGGCCCCTAGGGAAACCCAAAAACACCTTAGAGGAGATGCTGCTCATTCCAGGTTGGTGACAAGTGAAGTATCCCCCAGAAAAGGGGTAGCCAAGGAATAAGTGACAGCTTTGCAAAAAGGCCCTTTTGTCTGATGTCAAGTGTTGGGATGACTGGCTCTCAGCAGTTGCCAGCCAATGGGAAATATTTTCAACCTGACTTTCCAAGGATGGGGACAAACTTGAGTAGCCCACAAACAACTTAGCTCAAACTACATGAACAGGAGCAACTGCTCTGATAACAACAGAACAAAACTTGCGCCACAGACCAGTCTTGGAGGCCCTTGAACCTGAGTGGGCCTTGGGCAACAAGGCGGGAGAGCCCTGACCTGGGGATGGTAGGCTTTGGGCTTTCATTGTCTGCTGGGGAGGGAATATGGCACATGGTTAAAGTGGCTTCATGGTCAGGGCCACTGTACTGGATGCTAAGATGGCACAACCAAGGAGCTGCCCTAACACTGGCCCAGTGACAGTTGGCATCCAAGGGTATCAGACCTGAAGAATCAGTGACCTTGCAAAGGAAAGAGTAGGAGGACACCAGCCCATCCTCAAGAGGGAAGCAAAGACTCTACCCCTATTAAGAAAGTGAGACTGGGTCTTCCCACACTCAGTGTGCTGGACAGGGCTTTGGGTGTTAGAAGCGATGCCGTGGCTGGGGGCCAAAGTGCATGGGCAGGTTGTGCTCCAGGGGCACATGCACATGGCCAAACTCGTAGTTAACACGCACGTTGGGAAGAGGGGGTACATAGGGCGCGGGCACAGGACCCATGTTGATGGGGAAGTTGTTGAACACAGGACGCACAGGTGGCAGGGGGAAAGGTGGGTGTACAAAGGCGTAGGGCGGCATCTGTGGGTGCAGGTTCTGTGGGACAGGCCGTGGCAGGGCTTCCACCCGCTGGACTTTCTCGGCTGGCTTCTCCAGTGGGGGCCCGATGCGTTTAAAGGTGTTCTCTGCAAGGAAGCAAACATACAGAACTAACAGTATACTTCTGCCTATGACTAGGGCACTGCTTGTCACTTCTGACTACCAGGGCTTAGAAGCCTATAGGGACAACCTAGCATAGGAGGGCCACTTCTGACCCTCAGTATACTCTCCTCTGGGCCCAGAAATGGTGGTTCTCAAGAGTAGGCTGGATGCCAAATTCAAGACAAATGACACCCACTGCCTGTCAGAACAAGACGCCAAAGGGCAAATCTACACTTTCCCAGTGGTCACTCTCATAGCCCACAGAGGGTAGTATGTTGTTTACCATGTGAGATGTCCCTTCATAGCCTCAGGGACTTGCTATCATTTCTCAGTAACTTTCATAGTGGTGAGGCAGTCTCCTTAGTCAGGCTTCTATTTGCCTCCAGAGCTCAAACACTCTTGGGAATGTCCCATTATGAGGAACCTGTAGCTTTCATTGTGTTCTCATGGCTTGAGCAGTAAGTAATCCCTGAGGGATAGCTTCCATCCCACTCCCTAGCCCCATCTGTGCCTGGGAAGAACACTTGCCTCCATTCTTCCTTTTCTGTTCCTCTTCAGCCTCCTTTTGGATTTCCTCAATCAGCCTTTCATCATCTTCCTAGAATAAAAGCAACATCAAGGGGTGGGCCTGCAACACTGTGTAGTAAGGCCAAGGGGCAGAGGTTGGAGGCTGATTGTTGTTACTTTACCATCTTCCCCATTCATCTTCCTTCACCAGCTGGTTAGCCTTCTAATAAGGAGGCCTGGGGTTTTTTGAGTGGGATCTATGCCAGATGATGGTAGAAGGGCTAAAAGTCTTAGGCATTTCTGATCTCCATGCTGCAGCTCCAGGCACAGCAGGCCTTTGGACCCAACTCTCTGAACATAGGCAGGCCTGCTGAGTAGAAGCTGCCTGTGGCTCCTAGTGGTTGTACTGCAGCAGAGGTTGGATCTCAGTGGGACAGAAAGGAGAGAACAAGGCAGTAGGAGAACAAGTCATCCCTTGCTGGGAAAGGAACTAGAGGCACCTTGCAATTGTGAGTGACTGGGTTGTTGTGTCATGTATTGTTCTTGTATCTTCATGTGCTTAGCAGGAAACCTGGACTTTTGTCAGAACCATCATCCATGCTTGCTTCCTGTCAGGGGGCTAGGATCATCCCATTCTTGAGTAGCCTGCAAAGTGGCTCTCTAGTTTACAGAGGGACCAAAAGACTTCAGTTTTAAAAACCCTCACCAAGGGCTGGGTGTGGTAGCACATGCCTTTAATCTCTGCCCTTGGGAAGCATAGGCAGGAGGATCTCTGTGAGTTTGAGGCCAGCCTGATCTCCAGAGTGAGTTCTAGCCAAAGTTGCACAATGAGACTCTCTTTCATGAAACCAAAAGAAAATCGATGGTAGACATCTTTTCTGGTCAGCTGGAGGTCTCAAGCCACTGCCTGGCTTGCTGGCTCTTTTTCAGACAGGGTCCTACTCTGTAGTCTATGCTGATACCCAAGAAAGTTCTGAGGTAGAGTAGAGCCTGAAAGTGACAAAGACCACAGCTCTTGCTGCAGAAGTCTGTGCATCTACTTTGCAGGTGACTCAGGTCACAGCCAAGCAGTAATCAGTAACCTCACCACATGGCTATCATGTTCCCCAAGTCAGGATTTACATTAGACAGATTTGTACCATACACTGCTCTGTTGACTCACTATGCTTAATCCTACTGCTGAACCTCAGACTTAGAAGATAGAGTCACCTAGATGGCATGTGTCACTATGTAGCATATTCCTTTAAGTTGATAAAGAACTTTAGCATCTAGAGAGCTGTTGAAGTGGGTTCTGTGGCAACCTAGGTAACACCAGCAAATGCTCACATTCTCCAGGTCTCAATTGCCAAGTAACAGACTTGGTTGAAATGAAATGAAAGCAAATTAAGCTTTCCTTGACATGGAGAATTCAATTTTTTTTTTTTTGGCGGTGGTGGTGGAGGTGGGGTGGGATGGAGGTTGTCCCAAGACAGAGTTTCTCTGTGTAACAGCTCTGGCTTTCCTGAACTTACTTTGTAGACCAGGCTTGGAACTCAGGGAGATTTGCCTGCCTCTGTCTCCCAAGTGCTGGGATTAAAGGTGTGTGCTACCATGCCCCAATTTTTATTTAATATGTATGAGTGTTTTGCTTGCATGCATGTCTGTGTATCACATTTGTGCCTGAGGAGGTCAGAAGGGAGCATTAGGTTCCCCAAGAACTGGAGTTTATTGGATTGTGAGCTGCTATGTGGGTACTAGGAATTGAATCTACTAGGGTAGTTATCTCTAGCTCTCAGTGGCTATTTTTTTTTTTTTTTTTTTTGAGACAAGGTCTCATTTTGAAAGCCCCGGCTGGCCTTACACTCATGGCAACACACATGCTTCAACCTGAGTATTGAGATTTTAAGTATGAGCTACCGTACACAGTTCTGTGCAGCTTTACAGTTTGAGCAAGGTTTCCTGACTGACAGTAACACTTCATCCCTGAACACCTAAATGTGGTGCTGCCTGTACTTCCTAGGGAGACAGCTAAGGCTAATGAATAGGGAGGAGGAGGTATTATTATGTCTAGCCACTTCTGGAGTCACATGACTGCGCATGCGCTGTCAGCAGTCAGGCAAAATGCTTAGTCACTCCAGGCCTTACATCCTACATAATCCATGCATAGCGTGGTCACGTAATCGTGTCCTAGCTACGTAAACCCATGTATGTGCATGTGTGAGGTGACCTATAAAAGCAGGGTCTACCGGCTCCCTGCTCTTTCCCCCTCTCATCAGAAGTAGTGTGCACCTCCCCACCACCTTTCTTTTCGGTAGGACTACCAACCTCCACCCTTTCCTAATAAAAACTCTTATAGTGAGTTCTGGTGTACCTCGTGTTTTTTCATGCCTGGTAAATAACACCGACGAATAAATAAGAGAAGGAACTTAGAAATCATATTCCAAGCAAGGTGCTGGTGTTGCACGCCTCTCTTTAATCCTGGGACTGGGGAGGCAGAGGCAGGAGGATCTCTGAGTTGGAGGCCAACCCGGTCTACAAAGTGAGTCCCAGACAACCAGAACTACACAGAGAAACCCTTGAAAAACAACCAAAACAAAAAACAAAACAAAACAAAACAAACCAGGAAATCACACATTCCAAATCTGGTGTGATGTTACATGCCTAGAACCCCAGCACTTTGGAAATGGAAGTGGGATGATCAGAGTTCAGAGTCATCTTCAGCTACACAGCAAATCTGAGACCAACCTTGGCCACATGACATCCTGTTTAAAAACAACAACAACAACAACAAACCAACCCTCATTCATTCTTTCTTAGAGCACAAAACTTAGGTCCAGAGAAAGTAACTTGTTCACACTTGGTTGGGTGGAAGTTGACTAGAAAGAATGCCTTTTCTTTGTTTTGTTTTTCAATACAGGGTTTCTCTGTGTACCCCTGGCTGTCCTTGCACCCAGAGATGCACTGGTCTCTGCCTCCTGAAGGCTCAGATTAAAGGCATATGCCACCAGCACCTGGCAAGAATGCCTTTTTTAAAAGGGTTTATTGGGAAATGTTAGCATTTTTACTACTTTCTACAGAGAATTTTCCAGTTTCAAATAACTCTGGACTTTTGAATTATAACCTGTTTTTATGTTAAAAAAATTTTAAGTGGAAAATGCTGAAGGATCACTGAACTCGATGTTGTATTTACATATCTGTATCTGTGTAAAGTAATGATTATAAATGTTTGTTGAAAAAGGAGAAGTGCAAATGTGAATTTAACGAGTTATAGATTTAACTGTACACAAACTCCTTTGTTACAAATAAATATTTATGCTTATAAAAAAAAAAGAATGCCTTTTTTTAATCCCAGTGTCATTCAAATAATTTTCTTGAAGAAAATACACAGTTAAGAAATGCTGAAGGTCCCTTCGTCCTGAAGGTTTACAGAGCATAAGGGCAGGGTTATTCTCCCTCCCTCCCTCCCTTCCTCCCTTCCTCCCTCCCTTCCTCCCTCCCTCCCTCCCTCCCTCCGTGAACCCGTACGTATGCACTGTCATGCAAGGTATAGGAGAGGCGAGGACAGAAGCAGTGTGGTCTCCTATAGGACCAGCATACCTCAGCTGGCTCTTTACCATGCACTTTTTGCTATGAAAATTCAAGCAGTGAAGACTGGATGCCTCTTTCTTGGTTTTAATTAGCAAGAATAATATAGCTGGCCTTCCAGATCCATTAATTTAGCCAATTATGTGTGGAAAATAATTGGGAGAAAAAATGACATTTGTTGAGAACAAGGCAGAGCCTAAACATAGCACCTCTGACTTTGAAGCCATGGTTCTTCTGGTCAATTGCTTGTGCTCTGAAGGTGGGAATGTCTAGATAGAACCTTGTGTCTGTCACTGAGAATGGGTGGAACATAAGAGACACAGGAACTTTTCTGTCTAGATTTTAAGGTTCTAGGCTGCTTGTATGAGGAAACCTGCATGTTGATGTGTGCCTCATCACCTCTGGCTTCCTGAGGCAAGTCCCCAGTAATGGACTAATCCAATCTGAGTGCCGTTCCCCTCCATCTGCACAGCACTGGCAAGGGGTGATGGTAGTGAGCCAAGCTTTCTTGACAGAACTACAGCTTGTCACTTAAGAGTCCTTTCTGAGCACAGGAAGCAGCCACCCCAGCCTTTCTTCCCATTTCTTCGTTTTGATCATTCCCTGATGTGCCAAGTATCCTCATTGCCCTGAGTCTGTCTGGAAGTCTGGAGAAGCCCTTGTTGGTGCCTATGTCAGTCTTTGTTAACAAAATGATGGGGCTCAGCTATGATCTATGATGAATCATAGATTCATTGGGGCCAGACAGTTCGGATCTCAACTATGAGCTGGGCATGGGACACAGACCTATGATGCCCACCCTCAGATGGAGGAAGGTCTGTGAGTTCCTGGATAGCCTGGGTGGTTTAGCTACGGCCCATCTCAAAATAAAACAATAATAACAACAACACAAAACTGTGCAAAAAACAACTCTGAGCAAACATGGCATCAGCAGGCTTTTGCTGTGTTTAGCAACTTTAAAGGAATTTATTTATCTTGAGAGAGAGAGAGAGAGAGAGAGAGAGAGAGAGAGAGAGAGAGAGAGAGCGAGCGAGCACGCGAGCGAGAGCGCGCCACATGCAATCAGCATGTGTACTCTGGACACTCACTATTTCACTGATTGGAGGTCCCTCCCTACTAAGCAGTTTCCCTTCAGTTCACAGTCCATCAAGCTGACACAGGCTGGACTGATATACAGTTTTTATCTAGTATCTACTTTATCACAAGTGAAGAAAAATCAGTAATGTTAAAAAAAAGGGAAGACTTGGGTTTAGGGTTGATTCTGACTCTTTGGTCTGAAGACAGATGGGACATTGGAGGCACTACAGAGACATTCTAGGCCACCTGAGTGAGGGAAACTGGGGAAGGGCTTGCTGTGGGGCTGCTGGAAATGGGAACAATAGGAGGAAAGAGGATGACAAGCCAGTCCTCCAGCTCTTTTGGCTGAGTCACTTACAGGAAGCTGGAGCCTGCCTGGCTACAGTTACAGGGTTAAGTAGTGGATGTGACTATAACACCTGCAATTTTGGGGGCTTCAGACCCAGGTTT